TCTTACAAAATTGACATGATATCTATATGTTTTACTTCTTTCTTCTGCCAATTTAATATAACAATGTAATCAGATTGAATAAATATCAAAATGCATAAAAACAAAAATACCCTACTAAACTCATAAAATTGTGCCTAATTACAAAAAACTTAAGGTAAATAAAGGTAAAGTCGCATTGCATAATTCAAAAGATTTTTTTCATTTTTTATGGACGGATAAAACTCTATATTAAATGTTGGTTTACTTTCAGTTATTAAAGCAGTTCTATTATATTTGTATAATTGAAGACATTTATAAAAAATGTCTACTAGGACATCCCACTTACCAGCAAAATGTTCTTTCTAAGCCATTTATTGTGCAGAAAACACAAGCTTCTATAGAGATAAAACTTACATAAATTTAAAAATTATTTTTATGATAATTTAATGGAAAATATAAATTATATAAAAATAAGATCCTCATTTCTCTTGCAACACCTATATCTTTTAAAGTAATTAATTGATTTCTTATTCTTAATATTTAATCATCTAAGCTTATAATTTTTCTCTATTTAAAATTTCCTCAGCTACTTTTCTTTCTATCATTTCAGTATGAGGTACTTATTAGATGCATATTTATGAAAATCCCTCTCCTTCTTTCCTAATTACTCTTCCATTAATTCACATTGATCAACTAAAGCTTTTCTCCATTTCTATTATTTATCTATACTAATAGTCTCTACTTCAGTATATTGAATATCATTTTCTATTTCTTATAATTTTGTTAAGGTATCAGAGTTACATTCATTTAAAAAAGCATTAGAAATATTTCTTAAATGTATAGCTTGGTAAACAATATACATAAGGCTTGTATTTAATATTATTATATGATTTTGACTTAAAATCCTCAAAAAATCTGAAGTACATATGTCAATATTGATAATAAAATTGTTCGATTAAAAATCGTTATCCAAGTTATTCTTAGTTTAATTTATAATTTCATAATTATTTACATCAATAAAATAAGTCTTGTGAATAGGAGCAAACTTTCTTAAATATTACAAGTAATGAATCCATAAAATCTGAATCTAATTAACATATAGGTTGTAATCTAAAAAAGTAAAATTTTTTATATTAAAGTTCTTATTGATTTAAATTAAATATATTTGGTATATTTAGTTAATAGAATGGATTATTTGTTAGGTTGAATAAATAATTTATCGTTTGATAGATAGTTCTTTATTTAATACCAAAAGATAAGCTTTCAACTTATAATTAAACAATATTAATATCTTGATTATTTGTTTTTGTACATAAATATAATTTTGCTTTTGATAATATAATCTACTTAACTTTTTTAGTAAGATTGTATTCTTAGACTATTGATTTTATTTATAATTATTTTGATATGTTGATTTGATAGGGGATAGCATTAATGGATAAATTTTTTTGAATGTATTCATTTTCAAAAATGAAATAAGTATCATTAATAAGTTGAAGATAAACAACTTATAGAAAGTAGAGCAATTATAGCAAAATCAATTTGGATAGCATTAAATGGTTAGATTAAATAAATGATTAAAAAATAATGGTTGTTTTATATAAAAATATAAAATAATATAATTGTATAATATAATTTTTTTTATAACAAAAAATGGACCGAGAAAAATAGCTGATGGATTAACTATTAGAAGAGGAATCAGAAATGGATAAAGAGGAAAGAGAAAGAAGGGAAATTATCATTAACAATTTTATTATAATATATAAATTAATTAGATTAACTGCTTGTTAAAAAGGAGATTTAACAGCCGTCTTGCGTTGTTTATATAAAAGTGTAAATATTTTATATGAAGATAAGTAAAAATGGAATCCATTAATGTGGGCAGCATGTAAAGGATATCATTAATAAAAATAACATTATAAGACATATTGCATGTGTTATTGTTTCAATAAGCAGCAGCACCATATGTTCCAAAATGACATTGATATTGTAGAACTTTGCCAAAACAATGCCTATTTATTCAAATCCAATGAATTAATCTTCTCCAAGCAAATCTACTTATTTTGGAGGAAGTCCTAGAGTTGCAGCATAATCAGCAATGTTTAATTTCCCTTAATAATTATCAAAGAAGGTTGCCTAAGGAATAATAAATTAATAAGTCCGTTCTACTCCATTAATGTGGGCATGTTTTAAAGGACATGTACAAATTGTTTGGTTATTATTAAAGGGATGATTATGTTGGAAGGTAAAAAAAATAGGAGGTTTTAATATAGGATGTAAATCTATTTGGGAATAATAATGTTCATTTGGTAGAGTCAGGAGGAAAATAGATAGTATATTAGACATTAATGATTTATGGAGGAACTGTAGATAGACCAAATACAAGAGGACATACTAAAAAGATTTAACAACTAATGCCTATATATCACAATTAATTAAATTATTAGAAATAAGTGGTTAGACAACTAAGTATTTTTGTATGACCTGTAGAAAATTTTGGAAAGAAGAGGAATGTAAGATGGATTGGGTATTTGGGAATGCTGAATCAACAGACATGGAAAAACCTGAAGGTAGATGTTAGAATTGTTGGGATATAATAAAGAAACATACAGAAAAGAATTAATGAGTATAATAGAAAAATAGGATCGTAAATTATTGAGAGGGAAATAAAATGAAATTGAAAAGGGGATGGTTTATTAAGAATGAATATGGGAAAGAAGAATTTTAAAAAATAGAGATTGATCCAAAGAATTATAAATATGCTATGATTGAATAGGAAAAGTTAAGAACATAAAATGGTATTTTGGATTATTTAAGTACTTTGAAACAGGTACCTAATTATAAAACAATATTGACATCTTTCAATCAAATTCAAGCTATGTTGGATGTTGCAGTCAATAGACGTGTTAAGATTGATGATCAAGAGGAAGCTGAGAAGAAGATGGTGAGATTAAGGGCAGAAGTATATTAAAACAATATTATTAAATACCAGAATAGGTTGTTGTTTTAAATGATAAAGTAGCTATAGCAACAGAAAAAGGAGTGGATTAATAATATATAATAGGTTAGGCTTCAGAATTAAGGGATAAAACGGCAAAAGCTATTTAAGCTAAGAAAATATTGAAGATGTTTAATAAGTATCCAGCTAGAGAGATTCCAAATCCTATTAAATGGGATCCTAAAATAAATAAATCTATAGATCTAATTACAGGAAATCCAATTGCTTTAAAATTAGCATTATAGAATTAGAAGAAGGAACCAAATTTTGTTATTCCAGAAATCTTTGGATGAGAATATTAAGGGTATTATTATAATGTAATTTTATGTTAGGATTGGAAGGATTACTGAAAGAAGCAGAAGTATTTAATTTAAATCATGAATTTGTTGAGGAGAGCGTTTAATAAATAAAGAGAATGAAAAATGAATGAGATATAGAAAAGAAGTTGATGACTGATGCTAAGGCTGCTGTCAAAAAGGTGAATACTATGTCTAATGCAAACATTTCCACAATATTTATCTAATACTTCCACATATAAAAGTATCAATTCTAGCATTGTTAATTCATTGTCTCTCGCATCAATCCATAAAGCAAAGACAATCTTGCATATCTTTTAATTCCTAAACTAATTATGATGAAACTCTCAGTACTTCCAAAAATTAGTATGTTTAGCATCTCTACAAACTATCAATCTATGAACTTCATTTTACAATTTTATTTTTCAGCATCATCATAATACACTTGTCTTCTCTTATATATTCTACAACAAAATAAATCTAATCTTAAATTATATTAGTATAAATTATATATATATATATTTTAATTCTTCCATGATTTTTTCAAATTTATTCTCTTATTGCAATCATTTTTAAAGGATTCATTTTACAAATTTTTTAAAATCTTATTTTTTTTCTCATTATATGAACCTTTAATATCTTTATTATAGACAAATGTAATTTTAGTACCAGAAGAGGTATTTTCAAAAACAAAACCTTTTTAATTATAATAATAATATACTAGCAATTTCAGTATGAGCACCTACTGGACAATTAGAAATTGGAAATTTTGATAGATCTACTGAATAAAATAATCAACAAATTTATCCTTTATAAGGAAAATCATATCTTAATATTCTTCTTTATAACCATTCTCTTGTACTTACTATTGGTATATAAGAAACTACAACATAATACATAATATCTATATCTTCTCGTTCATTTCTTACTATCCCAATTTGTACTAAATTCTTTCTAATAAACTCATTAAAAACAACTTATTTATTATTATTATATATAAATGAATGTTCTTTCAAAAATACACTACCACAACCTGGTTTCATTATTTTATATAAATATCATCCTTAGTAGTAACACATTCCCAATTATCAATAGATTCCTCATAAAATTAGAAAAAGAGTTAAAATTTTTTAGTTGTCTCTTCAGTATATTATACTATTTATTAATTGATATCAACTGATTAACGATGTTGTAATGAGATTTATTATTCAGGTTCAAGAATTTACTTAATATCAGCTTAACTTAAAGATTGAGCAAGAGAATTTTATATAATTTAAGTTATTGTTTTTGAACAATCTTCTTATAATGTTTAAAATTCTGAATCACTACATGCTGAAAAATGAGATTTTAATTATTATTTAGGAGTAAGATTTTATTCATTTTCTTCTTAAATAATTTCTAATTATCTTTATTGTTAAATCATTTCCTTATTATTATTATTATTGCTAATCAATCTATTAATCTATAACTATACAAATTTATTCAATATCCCTAAAATGTTTTTTTTTTTAAATAAGAAATTATACTATCATTTTTAATATGTTTATTTCATTTTCTCAGCCAACATTTTAATTTAAGTAATTCTCATTTATGGATTTGGAATTACTTGGTTAATTATATAATTTCCTTTTAAATTAAAAAACATTTAGCTTAATCCCTTATTTTTTACAGTACCTTAGATTTTGGATTACAATCTTCTAATAATCTACTAAAGATCTTAACACATTATCTATAGCCTTCATTAAACAAAATTCAAGTTCAAATCTAAAATTTTTATATTTTTAGAGATAGAATGAGAGCATGAATAAAATGTTTTCTTTAATTATTATTCAGCATTATACTACTTATAATGTAAAACAGTCTTTGTCTCTAATAATAATTTCTCTGCTATAATAAAATATATATGTATATAATTTATAATATAATAATAACTATATAAATCTTACAAAATTGACATGATATCTATATGTTTTACTTCTTTCTTCTGCCAATTTAATATAACAATGTAATCAGATTGAATAAATATCAAAATGCATAAAAACAAAAATACCCTACTAAACTCATAAAATTGTGCCTAATTACAAAAAACTTAAGGTAAATAAAGGTAAAGTCGCATTGCANTAATTCCTAAACTAATTATGATGAAACTCTCAGTACTTCCAAAAATTAGTATGTTTAGCATCTCTACAAACTATCAATCTATGAACTTCATTTTACAATTTTATTTTTCAGCATCATCATAATACACTTGTCTTCTCTTATATATTCTACAACAAAATAAATCTAATCTTAAATTATATTAGTATAAATTATATATATATATATTTTAATTCTTCCATGATTTTTTCAAATTTATTCTCTTATTGCAATCATTTTTAAAGGATTCATTTTACAAATTTTTTAAAATCTTATTTTTTTTCTCATTATATGAACCTTTAATATCTTTATTATAGACAAATGTAATTTTAGTACCAGAAGAGGTATTTTCAAAAACAAAACCTTTTTAATTATAATAATAATATACTAGCAATTTCAGTATGAGCACCTACTGGACAATTAGAAATTGGAAATTTTGATAGATCTACTGAATAAAATAATCAACAAATTTATCCTTTATAAGGAAAATCATATCTTAATATTCTTCTTTATAACCATTCTCTTGTACTTACTATTGGTATATAAGAAACTACAACATAATACATAATATCTATATCTTCTCGTTCATTTCTTACTATCCCAATTTGTACTAAATTCTTTCTAATAAACTCATTAAAAACAACTTATTTATTATTATTATATATAAATGAATGTTCTTTCAAAAATACACTACCACAACCTGGTTTCATTATTTTATATAAATATCATCCTTAGTAGTAACACATTCCCAATTATCAATAGATTCCTCATAAAATTAGAAAAAGAGTTAAAATTTTTTAGTTGTCTCTTCAGTATATTATACTATTTATTAATTGATATCAACTGATTAACGATGTTGTAATGAGATTTATTATTCAGGTTCAAGAATTTACTTAATATCAGCTTAACTTAAAGATTGAGCAAGAGAATTTTATATAATTTAAGTTATTGTTTTTGAACAATCTTCTTATAATGTTTAAAATTCTGAATCACTACATGCTGAAAAATGAGATTTTAATTATTATTTAGGAGTAAGATTTTATTCATTTTCTTCTTAAATAATTTCTAATTATCTTTATTGTTAAATCATTTCCTTATTATTATTATTATTGCTAATCAATCTATTAATCTATAACTATACAAATTTATTCAATATCCCTAAAATGTTTTTTTTTTTAAATAAGAAATTATACTATCATTTTTAATATGTTTATTTCATTTTCTCAGCCAACATTTTAATTTAAGTAATTCTCATTTATGGATTTGGAATTACTTGGTTAATTATATAATTTCCTTTTAAATTAAAAAACATTTAGCTTAATCCCTTATTTTTTACAGTACCTTAGATTTTGGATTACAATCTTCTAATAATCTACTAAAGATCTTAACACATTATCTATAGCCTTCATTAAACAAAATTCAAGTTCAAATCTAAAATTTTTATATTTTTAGAGATAGAATGAGAGCATGAATAAAATGTTTTCTTTAATTATTATTCAGCATTATACTACTTATAATGTAAAACAGTCTTTGTCTCTAATAATAATTTCTCTGCTATAATAAAATATATATGTATATAATTTATAATATAATAATAACTATATAAATCTTACAAAATTGACATGATATCTATATGTTTTACTTCTTTCTTCTGCCAATTTAATATAACAATGTAATCAGATTGAATAAATATCAAAATGCATAAAAACAAAAATACCCTACTAAACTCATAAAATTGTGCCTAATTACAAAAAACTTAAGGTAAATAAAGGTAAAGTCGCATTGCATAATTCAAAAGATTTTTTTCATTTTTTATGGACGGATAAAACTCTATATTAAATGTTGGTTTACTTTCAGTTATTAAAGCAGTTCTATTATATTTGTATAATTGAAGACATTTATAAAAAATGTCTACTAGGANAAATTTTTTAGTTGTCTCTTCAGTATATTATACTATTTATTAATTGATATCAACTGATTAACGATGTTGTAATGAGATTTATTATTCAGGTTCAAGAATTTACTTAATATCAGCTTAACTTAAAGATTGAGCAAGAGAATTTTATATAATTTAAGTTATTGTTTTTGAACAATCTTCTTATAATGTTTAAAATTCTGAATCACTACATGCTGAAAAATGAGATTTTAATTATTATTTAGGAGTAAGATTTTATTCATTTTCTTCTTAAATAATTTCTAATTATCTTTATTGTTAAATCATTTCCTTATTATTATTATTATTGCTAATCAATCTATTAATCTATAACTATACAAATTTATTCAATATCCCTAAAATGTTTTTTTTTTTAAATAAGAAATTATACTATCATTTTTAATATGTTTATTTCATTTTCTCAGCCAACATTTTAATTTAAGTAATTCTCATTTATGGATTTGGAATTACTTGGTTAATTATATAATTTCCTTTTAAATTAAAAAACATTTAGCTTAATCCCTTATTTTTTACAGTACCTTAGATTTTGGATTACAATCTTCTAATAATCTACTAAAGATCTTAACACATTATCTATAGCCTTCATTAAACAAAATTCAAGTTCAAATCTAAAATTTTTATATTTTTAGAGATAGAATGAGAGCATGAATAAAATGTTTTCTTTAATTATTATTCAGCATTATACTACTTATAATGTAAAACAGTCTTTGTCTCTAATAATAATTTCTCTGCTATAATAAAATATATATGTATATAATTTATAATATAATAATAACTATATAAATCTTACAAAATTGACATGATATCTATATGTTTTACTTCTTTCTTCTGCCAATTTAATATAACAATGTAATCAGATTGAATAAATATCAAAATGCATAAAAACAAAAATACCCTACTAAACTCATAAAATTGTGCCTAATTACAAAAAACTTAAGGTAAATAAAGGTAAAGTCGCATTGCATAATTCAAAAGATTTTTTTCATTTTTTATGGACGGATAAAACTCTATATTAAATGTTGGTTTACTTTCAGTTATTAAAGCAGTTCTATTATATTTGTATAATTGAAGACATTTATAAAAAATGTCTACTAGGACATCCCACTTACCAGCAAAATGTTCTTTCTAAGCCATTTATTGTGCAGAAAACACAAGCTTCTATAGAGATAAAACTTACATAAATTTAAAAATTATTTTTATGATAATTTAATGGAAAATATAAATTATATAAAAATAAGATCCTCATTTCTCTTGCAACACCTATATCTTTTAAAGTAATTAATTGATTTCTTATTCTTAATATTTAATCATCTAAGCTTATAATTTTTCTCTATTTAAAATTTCCTCAGCTACTTTTCTTTCTATCATTTCAGTATGAGGTACTTATTAGATGCATATTTATGAAAATCCCTCTCCTTCTTTCCTAATTACTCTTCCATTAATTCACATTGATCAACTAAAGCTTTTCTCCATTTCTATTATTTATCTATACTAATAGTCTCTACTTCAGTATATTGAATATCATTTTCTATTTCTTATAATTTTGTTAAGGTATCAGAGTATGGCGATTAAGTTCGCATACCCATACTACCACAACGAGACAATAAAGGTTTTTTCATTGATGCTTCCTAATTTATTAATTCGGATTTAATCTATGAGAAGGTAAAATTAATGTGCTTCGTGTCTTGACTAAATTATTTGAATTAGATTTATCAGGAAAAAAGCGAACGTTATAAGTGAGTTTTCTTGTTTTTTATGTGTTGCCAATAAAATTTAAATTATTTATAATTTACCATATCTCAAATTCTGATATTTAGTAACAAAATTTTAAAAAACTGTCTTATACTTATATATTTAAATTCAAATGCTCTATTTTAAAGATCAATTGTATTTATTTATCAATACTTATGAAATTGATATCATAATTAGTTTTGTTGAAAGTTTATATACAATTAGTATAGCAATAATTATCTATTCGAATTTTTATTGTTTAAATAATAAACTTCAATATTACAACAAAAAAGGTAAAATATTTTTCTAATTTCACAATTATCCTAATAAATTTTTTAACACAGAATCTTCATTTATATAATATACTAAAACCCAATAATCTAATAGTATTGATAGTTAGAAAGTTTCAATTTATCCGATCATAGATCTTTATGATATTTTAGATTTCAAAATAATTCAAATAATTCAAATAATTAAATTAGTTTTAAAAGTATAACCCCTTTATTAAAATTAGAAGATGGATTATTACTAAAAAATATGTTATTCAAGAACAAAAATAACTGAATCATATATTTTTATAGTATTTTATTATAGAGAATGAATTGAAAATGGAGAAAATTACATTTATGATAAACTTATTTTAATATTTACAATACTTAAATTTAAATTTTAAAATCTATAAATTTTTGTTTACTTTAGAATATTTCCTATCATCAATTAACCATTAACTTAAAATCTTATGTTTTAATACATTTTCCCAAGAAAAATCTTTGATTATTACTCCTTCTCCTTTTGCTCCATGTGTTTTCTTACATAATTCATCTAATTATTTTTATTCCATACTTTTTCATCATCAAATAAATGAATAACTTCATCATTTCCTCTTGGAGATACTAAAATATCTTATAAAAAAAGCATTTCATTATATTAAATTTAGATTCCTTTTCTTTTTTGATCTCTTTTGCAGCTACTCCACCAAAATCACCTTATTCATCCAAAATCACCTTATTCATCCAAAATCACCTTATTCATCCATCATCCTAGCAGGTGCTTCTATTGTGAATATACTAACAGGTACTTTAAATTATTATGTAAGCACCATTTTCTTATTGACTAAAAGAAGGATTGCTACAGCATCTCCTCTTGAAAATGCAAAGCCTGGTAATTTGATTCCATTTAGATATGTATCCACAACTAAATTAATAAAGCCAACATTTTATTCAAACATGTAGTTATTCTATTTATTTGATTTCAACATTTTAAGTGTTCCCAAGAGTTTATATAATTTTAAAATATCTTAGCTTATTCTATTTTATTAAAATGATCCATTAAAACATTTTCTCCTTTAATTAAGATATTTCTTATCATTTAATAAAAAGCTTAAAATAAAATTTCAAAAGAAACAATGAAAGATTCTTAACTTATAACGTAACATCTTGCTAAAAGTGTTGCAAGAGAATCGTAAAAACTTGAACCAACTTCAAATCCATATTTTAATGAATCTAGATTATAAGAATAAATATTTGAACTTAAAAGATAAAGTTCAGTTCATAAAAATGATAGAATCACATTTGGAAGTATTGATAATAGAGATAGATCTTGTGATCGTTTTTAATCTAATTGATATTTAATATCTATATATATTAAAAGTTCTTTGAAATCATCTCTTGCATCTAGTTAATTATTTTCAATACCAAATAAAGTCACTGAATTAATTGGACATTAAGAGAAATGTCTAATTAAATAAAGATTATCAAATATTGATTCTGAATTAATAAAACAAACCTTAATCTTTATGGCAGAAGATATGGATAATCAAATTACACATAAACCAGGTTATAGACACACAGAAAATCTATAATTAAAATATGATCAATATTTATAATAACTTATTAATTCTGTATCAAATTAATAGAATGAATTAAATCATGTTATGAAAATTGCTCCATAATACAATTATGAAAATAAATTATTATTACCTAAGGTTGAAACTACCATTAATAATAATCGTTAAAATGCTATTGGAGGAGATAGAGATCTATAAGAATTGGAAAACTTGAATACGATAATTTAGAATAAATTGAAATCTTAAAAATTTAATATGATTAATTGTTTAGGATTAAGATAGAGTATGAAAAATTTTGGATTAAAATTAGAATATAAATATTAATCAAATAATCCTTTATTAAGTATTTAAGCAATAACTGATAATGTTATTGCAGTTGGAAGTAAAAATGGATTAGTTTAAGTTTTGGATTTATAAAATAAAGAATAATATTTTACCATTTAAACTAAACAACCGCCTATTACTTGTATGAGAATATTTAAAGGATCTCAAGGAGATTTCAATGTAACTTCAAGAACAAATGTATAAGGAATAGATTTAAAAGAATAATAATATGTTATTACTGGTAATCAAGAGATAAAGATATGGGATATTAAGATTGGAAGCATGATTAAATAATTAAAAAGATAAGGAAAAATAATTAAAAATATTTTATATTTATTAGATGATCATACTTTAACTAGTGGACGTGAAGATAGTAAATTATCATTTTGGAATGCTTATTCTGTCATGATAATGAAGAAATTATAAGATCATATTGATTCTGTAAATGGAATAATATTAACTAAATAAGATGTTTTTTTTAGTATCAGTAGCAACTAGTGAAGATGTATTGTGTATATCGACATCAATAAGCCCACTTAATGGTGATATATATTTAAATGAAAAAATAGTAAATGAATTTGGTGTAACATGTGGACCTTTTTTAATTATTTTAAGATAAGGATGGATTGAGACTCTTAGTAGTAAATTAAGATGAAGATAATTAGAGTTTTATGATTTTAAAATTATAAAAAAAAAATATAATATGATTTCATGTATATTTTAATATTTAATTATTATAATTAATATTATTTCAAACTTAATAAATTTTACTTACTCTTTTGTTCCCTTTTTTCACCGAATCATTTTAATTCAATATTTAAATAACTTCATCTAAAAAATCAGTTATTTACTAATTGTTATCACAACCCATATTTATAAAAATATTTAAAATAGGAATCCCAATTTAATTAAAACTTAGAAAAATTTAAGTTTATAAGATATTCGAATTAATACAAATTAATCATGTTCTAGATAATCTATATAAATAAAGTAATGATCTATAATACAGATATTAAATTTATCAATCAGTAAATTAAGATGATTATTATTTTTAATACAAACTTTATGATTAATTTTGAGACTGCACATGTCTTTTACAATACTATTAATTCTTCACATAATTTTTCAAGAAATCCACTTACTAATTTAACAACTTAAATTAATTAGGAAATTTCATAATAACTTCCCATAATATAATAATAATTTAATCAAAAAAGAATTAATTTGTATAATAGAAAGATATTCCTTCTTTAATTTTACAAGGCTTAATTTGTTTCATTAATAATAATCCTAATAATATTACTACTTGGATAATTTGAAAATTTTCTTGATTTTTAATATACTTATTTACCAGTTTATTTTTATACATATGAAGAATTTAAAAATCAAATTTGAAAATAATACTTTTAATTGAATTTGAGAAATGGAAATTAAACTATATAAATCTAACAACAACTTATTCAAATATTTACTTTGTGATCATCTCTATTTTTGTATCACTTTCAATTTTGACAATTTTAGGAAGAAATAATAGATAATGTGTATTCTATATAAGGCCTCATATCAAAGAACAATCTTATTCACATAAACTATACTATTTGATCTTTCCTTATTAGGTGATTACAGATAACTTTACAATATATTATGATCAATAATTCTATTTATAATAATTGTGAGTATATTTTCTTCAATTGAATAGCAAATATTTTATTGATAAAAAACAATCTCCTCTTATTGCTATTCTATTTTTTCAAGAACCCTTAATTATCAATTGAAATGTTAAACTTAATATTTTTTAGAGTTCGAATTACTCATTATTCAATATTAAATACTAATTATTTATGGTTCCTATTATCACAATCAATTAAATTATTCCTTGCTCAGAAACCCATCTGAAATCCCAAAAGCTATACCTCTATGCTAAAAGGCTCAAATACCTTTAATTAGTAAAGATGTAACTCAATCAAATTAAGATATATCATATAGACGAAAACTAATCACTATGGCTTTTATAATGATATATTTGTATTGTTTTATCATGTTACTTTTGGGTGAAATATTATTTATGGTAATCTTAATTGTAGATAGATAAGTTGCATCAGATGTAAAATCTACCTATAATTACTGGACGCTTTAAGAATCTGTTTATTTCTATGGAGTATCGATAAGTTATATAGACTTTGTTTTCTTTGTTAAAAATTAATTATAGTACATAAATATTATAGCTTTTCATTAAAATAATAATACAATGGGAGATAGAAAATTAGCAATTTGATAAGAATAAAGATTTTATCATTTCACAACTTGCAGTATTGCATCTGTTAATGTAAATTTAATACAAAATATCAATAACCCAGAAGATATTGAAGGATTGTGAACATTCATATATTATTCATATAGCGCTGATGAAAATAAAGCTCTAGCATTTATCAAATATTTTGATGATAATATTCAATCTAAAAACTCATAAGACTATGCATCCAGCAGTTAAATTCTTGAAATACATATTAAGAGGGAACGATAATAAGAGATATCCAGGATTTAAAGGCTAATTCAGATTAGTCACATTCTCAACACAATCATCAATATTAATTCCATTAAAATCAAATCAAATCATAAAGGATCCAATCTAAAGATAAAATATGGAGATGACTTAGTACAAAGAAAATTTTGATGGGATGATAAAAAATAACCATAAGAATATTCGTTCAGATGATGGTAAAAAAAAAAGAGGGATGGACCTAGTCTTAATGCTTAGTTTAACTTATTCAGAGTAACAATCAAAGACACATCAAAAGATTAATTCTTAGGAGATAGAACATTTTCAGGATGGATTGAATTTGGTAACTTGCATATACCAACTTATCCATAAACTAATATGAATGGCGCTGGTAATTTGAACCATTTTAAGAACATTGAATATAAGAACAGAAACTTTAAATGGTTCTTTTGTATACTTTGGATATTCAAAGAAAGATTAAGCTGTATATGCATGAGTTCAATAAAATATTAAAGCATTATTAGATAAGGTTTAATAACCAGCTACCTATGTTCTTGACGTAAAGACTAAATAAATAATATAAATAAGAAGCACTATTTACAGAATAAAAAGAAATTTGTTATGATGATTTCCCATCAGCTCTGGAATATTTTGGAGTGGTTGATTCAAATGGACATTCATCCCAAAACAATAAACATGTCATTTGGGAGTTGATCCATAATTTAATCTACTTAAATAGCTTCAGAAGTCTTGAATAAAATGAGGATTATAAGATAACTCATATAAAATAGCTATAGTACTCTAAGAAGTTAATTTATGGCTATTGAAATTTTTTAAGCATAAGCTATTATATTAGCTATTTTATATTATGGTGGAAGCCTAATAATTGATGGATAATCAACAATAGATATTTAAGTTCTTTTGTATTATATACTTTAACTATTACAAGTATAATATCATTTGTAATTAGTTTCTCTTTTGTCTTTACGTACTACAATGAACGAGATGGTTTCTGCAGTTGCAGTAGCTGAAAAGAATTTTGATATAATAGATCATACTTTAAAGATCCGTAATGGTTCTTTGGATGCTTTAAATATATCTAGGTAAATCTATATATAAGATGTGACATTTTTGTTATCCAACTAAAATAATGTGATGAGTTTAAAATAAATTAACTTAGATCTTAATTAACGTGAAGTTGTAGCAATTGTTGGACAAGCAGTAGTGGAAAGTCTACTATTGTTTAATTGTTATAGAGATTTTATCATAGTGCAAATGGCTCTATCTTGTTTGATAATATTGATATCAAGGAATACAATTTTCTAGTAGCTTCATAAAACAATAGGATTTGTTGTGTTGGAGCCAACTTTGTTTTCTGGTACTTTGAAAGATAATATATATATGGTGTAGATATTTTTTACATAAGAAAATATTAATAATGATATGAAATTAGCTAATGCTTCAAAATTTCCAGATGGATTGGAAACTATAGTTTGTTTAAATTAACCACTGTAATTAATTCAAACAAAATAATTGTTGTTTAAAATGGATAAATAGTTGAATAAGGAAAGCATCAAGAATTAATAGAAAAAAATGGTTTATATAAATAATTAATTGAAAGATAATTACTTATCTATAAGTCTTTTTCTTGAAATTAATTTATTTGGATAGATATTGAACTTATAAATTAATAATTTCTCAAATTATTTTTATTTAGTACTAAACAAAGCTCTCCTAGGAATGTTATCTCTTTATAAATAATTTCTCTTATTTCTTTTTTCGCACTTTTTCATCAATGCTATAATAATATAAAATTTGAAGATTTACTTTCATTAGTTCAAAATTGCATTTAAAACTCAGTTAATAAATAATTACCATCAGTTCCTATCAGATATTTA